CAGCGGGTGGCCATTTTTTTACCCGGCGGCCATTTTGGAACCGACAATCAGCTGTTAAAAATCATTGCTTTGCGATGATCGGTAAGCGAAACAGGGTACCGATCATAGCAAAGCGATTTTTCCCCATTTAAAACATCGCAATGCGATTGCTTTTGCAATCGCAAAATCTTCGTCGGTATGCAATTTCGTCGTTAAATGGGGCGCCCATTAAGCGAGGCACCACTGTAGTTTTTAAAATATTTTTTGTAATCATTTTGCCAATCAGTTGGGTGATCTTATAAAATTTGAATGAGGTCTTCCTCTGTATGTTTCTCCTGGACGTAAGCTAGAGTCTCTCTTCCCGTTTCTCTAGTGTACCCGCTCAAGAGAGGCAATGGTTGTGCTTTGTTTTTAAAATATCATACAGCAGTTATACCCTACGCAGCTAGTTCCTTTCTTCTGCTATAAATCCTATTGATTATTATGCTATCTTTGATTGTTACTATTGCATGTGCTTAGGTATAATTGCAAAATAAGTAGCCCATATTCAGAATTTGGGACTTGGAAGTTAATTCAGGAATTATAGGTTCTAGAATGCTGATCAAGTTCCATTTGCGTTCATTCTGGGTAAGTATCCCCTTTCGTTTTGGGTATCCACATAATGCTAAAGTGTTAGCCATTAATCTTAACTCCCATCTAGTTCTATTCTCAGACTGCATCAACTGGGCTGTCAGTTGATTATTCTTCTTAGGGTTACTATTTATCACATCAGTCCATGGATCATTTCCCATTATATCTATTTTATCCTCAATGTCGTGTAGGGGCGGAGTAATAGCTATTTGGTCTAAATGTGTTAGGGCCTGGCCAGTATCTAACTTTTCAGAGTTCCTTTAGAATCTAGAAGATTTTCTTTCTTTCTTTGGTTTCTTCTCAATAAGTTTAAATAGATTATAGAAATCCATCTTGTCAGATGACTTTTTTGTCTTACTTGTACACTTAATATTTTTAATCTTTTTGGTACACCCATGCGGACACCTTAACTGTGTCCTATTTTTAGCCTTCTTTTTAGAAGTTTTTTTCCCTTTGGCCAAATCATCCAGTGGAAGTGGGTGTGTGGTACCTTGGTCAGTTTGAGTATTATTGTTTCTGCATAAATTGCTTATTGCAATTAAGTTGGTTAATGTAGTTAGTAACTCATGAGATTCGAAGAGGAATTAACTTCATCTCATCTAGAATATCTTTTACCCAATGGAACACTTGCCTTAATTATTTTTGGCAGGGATGCTTTTTTCTATTTACGTGCCTCCTTGTGTTAATTCTTCTATTTGTTTTAATATAAAGTCATCTGCCTCCTTTCTTCTCCACCCCACTGGTGTCCAAAGCATTTTCTGCAGATGCTAGTTCCATTGCCAGGTTAGGACCAGGGTCATCTTTGTTTGATTCTATTATTGTACACCTATTCTCAACTGACCAGTCTAAAGTTTCATTTGTGTGTTTAGAGACCTCATTTTTGGGAGAAAAGAAATTAGTGATTTTCTTTTGACTCTCTTTCCTCCCTTTCCTCTCTTCTAAAAAGCTGTCATGTGCTGGGGAAATGCCATGTTTTTTGTACCCCTCTCTAGTAAAAAAAATTTAGTGAATGTAGTTAACTTCTAAATAGAACTAGATCAAAATGAATTTTTCAACAATTCCTACAAATAAATGACCTTTGAGCCCTGTCATTCTGAATTTATATCACCTGGCGGTTTTTGATGGCTCCTTATCATCACTCTATGGTTTAGGGTAAAATACTAACTGCTCTGTTGGCACATCCCATCTTCAGTATCTATTACAATGGTGCCATATTAATTTTTTTATAGGTTTCATAGTTGATAGCGTACTGCAGTTTCAAAACTGACCCTTGGTCCCAGTGAGAACACAGGTATTTAAGTGAGAAGCTAATAGATGAAATGCTATTTATTCTAACTGATGTAAAAATAAGATTTCTTTCAAGTGGATAATTTATGAGCATATATAACACTGAAAAGGTTGCTATATTTCATACCACAGCTGCTGTATAGATTATTCTCTGCACCATCTCCAGATCATCAATGTAACTTCTCAGAAGGGTTTGAGCATCCAAGCGTTCTTGAGCATAAATGTCACTGAAGCGTTCCACAAGGCGAGCATGACGGGAAGCATTGGTAAGTCTCGCTCGGCCAGGTGAGAAACTCCTCACTGAAAGTGGGCTAGGCGATCTGCTTCGGGCAAGAACTGGGGAAGGAGATCTACTTCGTGCGAGTCTGTAGCAATATGACAAAATGATAGTAATGGAATGTATCTTTATGAATATGTCTTCCAGACACTTCTCATGAGAAACGTAACATGCAGTCAAAGAATACTGTAGCTGTTCTTGTCATGAAAATTCTTGGGGAGCTACTTTTTTGTCATTTACTGTTACACTTTAAAGCACCAGACATTTACAGCATCATCACAGGAACATAGACTCTACACTGAGTCAGATCTTTGGTCATTTAGTCCAGTATTATCAGTCTCAAAAGGAACGGAACATGAGTCTGGAAATATTGCAAAATTACATTGTAAAAGAGCTGGTTTTAGTGGCCTCTTAAATCAGATGGAGGGAGAGTCCTCACCTGTTTTGCAAAACAGATTTTTGAGCACTAAGAACTGCAATCTCATCCTTCAGTGTTTGAAGCTGCTGCTCATAGTCATTCAGCCGCTCCAGGTTTATCATAGCGCACTCTTCCTTTGCCCGAGAAGCCTTCAGCCTTAACGAAATAGAGTAATTTCAGTCAAAAGGGCTATTTCTACCACATTCAATAGCTGCTATTAAGTAAAGCATCCATGTGAAATCTTAAAAGCTGTTAACAAGGAAGAAAATTAGAGTTACCAATGGACAACACATGAAACTTGAAATGACATTTATCCTTGGCATGCAATTTAAGATAAATTTTATCTACATTTACATTCACATATCCTGAGTATTAATAAATATAGTTTTGGTTCTTATGTAGTCCTTCTGATATCTACTGGAACACTTATATAATCCTTTGGATGTGACTGTGTGCCTTACAATGGAGAAAATGAATCACAGAGGAAGGTTCAAAAGAAAGATAGCTGAAGCATGCAAGTTCACAGATTCCAGTAAAAATATACTCAGTAAAACAGAAGGTGGCAAACTTGGATCCACCAATATTATTGCACCACAACTCGCAGAAAAATCTCGGATCATTGGCTATGCTGGTTGGAGCTTCTGGGATATGAAATCTATTGACATCTGTGACCTAAGTCCTAAGTCTAGAAGCCACTAATTTAAACCAACTGAAGCACCAATTGCATAATGCATTGTTACTTTTAGTACAAGCCAACAAATTCCTTCGCAGCTGTTTTTGAAGTCTTATTTCAATAAATTAGTGATTTTCTTTTGACTCTCTTTCCTCCCTTTCCTCTCTGGTCCCCATATGTTCTTGGATTACAACTCACAGAAATCCTGGCCAGCACAACTAGTGGTAAAGGCTTCTGGGGGTTTTAGTCCAAGAACATCTGGAAACCCAAGGTTGAGAACGATTAGTCTGAAGCAATCTTCCACAAACTGGTGTCCCCCAGACCTTTTAGACTGCAGCTACTATCTGCCCATTTAACATGGCCAATGGTGAATAAACACACAACCTGAAGCCCATTAAATCTGGAGAAGATAAGGATGAGGAAGGGTACACTAAACCAGCCAAGTATAACAAATAATCAAGATTACACAGTCTGAAGAAAGCACAGAACAAGGTTGGGTGCCTCATTTAACACTGCTAAGGTGGGACTCCACAAGTTTTATCCACAGGATACCAGATACACACACATACAAAATATCTATAAATAACTTTGCTAGCCATTTTATAAACATCAACAGCCCTGGGACAATATTTTTCTTACTCTGCTTTTAGCTGAATAATTTCATCCTCTGCTGCCAAAAGAGTGGTGGCTGATTTGGCCTTTGTTCCTTCAAGAGCCAGCTGAGCTTCTGCAAGGCTACAAAAGAAATCAGCACTAGGATATCTATTTCTAAGGCAAAAGCACAAATTCTGCTAGCATGCTCAGTGAACCATAGCTTTCAACAGATATATATAGCAAGTATGCAGACTTTTATGAGATGATATTTGACATTGATTGATTGATTGATTGATTGATTGATTGATTGATTGATTGATTTTATATCCCGCCTATCTAGTCGATTAAGACCACTCTAGGTGGCTTACAAAAAACATACAACAATATATATAAAAACAGTTTTACATAGAAAGAAAACTTATATTTTGTCTGCAAAGGCTGTATCATGCTTGGACATACAGTGGTGCCTCGCATAACGATTTTAATTGGTTCCAAAAAAAAAAAGTTATGTGAAACATCGTTATGCGAAACACCATTTTCCATAGGAATGCATTGGAAACTGGTTAATCCGTTCCAATAGGCACGGATTGCCATCCTTAAGCGAAAAAACCCATAGGAAACATCATTAAACGATACAATGTTTCCTCCATTGGAATGTATTGAAGCTGACTCAATACATTTCAATGGCTTTGCGAAGTCAATTTTTGCAAAATTAAGTGTGTCATAAAAGGGTCAAAAATGATTTTAAATGCTTGGATTAGCTTCTGCACCCTCTAAAACGGATGCAAAAGTTAATTTGGCTTTGATCTGACTTTTCGTTAATTTATGGTGAATTTTTCCCCCCAACTTTTGACAGCTGTCAAAATCTGACAGCTCCATTATTTCCTATGGGGGAAAAAAATCACAAAAAATTAAGGAAGCCTCAGCAACTGTTCTAAATGGTTGGGTTCGTTAGAGGACCCCCTAAGTCGTGTGCAAACCTGATTTGGCTTTGATCTGAACTTTCGTTAATTTATGGTGAATTGTTTTCTCCCCCATAGGAAAGCATGGAGCTGTCAGATTTTGACAGGTCCATTGGTTCCTATGGGCCGAAAAAAAAAATTCACCATAAA